TTACTCCTGCACTCCAAGTACTATGTTATCGAATCACCTTCTAATATCAAAATTCTTGTGAATTGCTGCAGGCCTTGAGTAATGGGATTTATAAGAGTGTGTGGCACCGTGCCATTACAAATACTGAGAGAGCTAGGCTATCAGTGGCTTCATTCCTCTGCCCACAAGATGACGCACTGATCAGCCCAGCAAAGGCTCTTACAGATGATGGGTCTGCAGCCATTTATAGGGGCTACACGTACACAGAGTATTATAAGAAGTTTTGGACTAGGGACTTGAATCAAGAGCATTGCTTGGAGCTTTTCAAGACCGATCAGTAGCCTCAATTTGTGTCTTGCTAGTTGTTGCCAATCTGATTATATATTTCTCGTCATGGCATGTAGGGCTGCTTCTATAACTTGGTGGGGCGGAGGGATTGCAGCAAGCTATTGGGAGCCACAGGTTGGCGCATCGCAGTTGTTCTGACAGGTTTAAAATGTCTCGACTTCTGCATATGTTGAATAATTTCCACTCTGCGGGTTTATTTTATTGGTTATTCTATTACTCTGAACTACTTGCCTCCATTGTTGTAACATCTCGAATAATTCAGCAGGTTGGCCATATAATTGTTATTGTATACAGCAAGGCCTCATTGTAAACTTATTTCATGTTATGCAGAGGGTTGAGATGCTATGTAAGGTTCTGAATAATATCATATGAATGTCTTGTTATTTCTTCGCATGAATTACCCCTTGTTCGTTGCCATTTCTTTGGTTTCCCCACCCTTTTTTTTATTTCTGGATGCAAGAAAGTCATATATATGGATCCAAATTTCTAAAGCTCACTAGGTACAAGCAAGCAACATGAAAACACGTCTTATTACTTTTTGTGCAATTAAAATCTACATATGGTGTAATGTAAACTCCGCATGGGGTCTGATCTGATCACCATGTCAAAAACCAAAGCAATATGTATGCAGATGACAGCATACCAAGCCCGTTAAGCACTCAATTCTTCTTAAGGAATTCTATGACATAGGTGTTGAAGGCAGAGCACGCGACGTTAAAGCCTTGGAATCCAGCTCCCTTGGCCAAGGCCTGAAACTCCTGCTCTGTCCTCTCTTTTCCCCCAGGGTTGTGAGCCAACATGATCACATCAATATGAACAACTCCCTTAGTTGCAAGGCTACTGTCTGGGGCTACAGGAAGAATGCACTCACCAAGAATCACCTTCCCATTATCTGGAAGTGCAGCATAGCAGTTCTTCAAAAATTTCAAGCAATGCTCATCACTCCAGTCATGACATATCCACTGTAACATTGCACGCCCAATTAGATATTAGTTCCCAATATAATGAACATCACCTTAGCATAGCATATCATTAATGGATTATATATAACCTAATCTCATGAATGAAATAACTGAAAAGATACAGTGCAGGTTTCAGATAATTTCTAGCTCACCTTCATGAAAATTGCATCTCCTTTTGGAACACTTACAAACATGTCTCCCCCAACATGCTCCACGCCTATATCCAAAAGATCCACAGAGGTCAAAAAGGACTTATATATATTGTGAAGTGGCTAAATCTACTAAGCAAAAGGTAATATAATGCACATTTATACCAGGATATTGAGGAGCATCTTCAATGACATGAGGCAAGTCGAAGTTAATCCCCTTGATCGAGGGGTATTTTGAGACGATCATGTTAACGACAGCTCCCGTCCCACCACCGACATCCACGACGGATGCGAGGCCCTCAAATCCTTTGTATGTCTCAAGGATTTTCTTCATGGTGATGGTAGAGTGGTCAGCCATTCCCCTGTTGAAGACCTTGTTGAATCTGGGGTCAGTGCCATGATATTCAAAAGCAGTCATTCCATAGGCCTTGTTGAAAGGAATGCCACCTTCAAGAACTGCGTCTTTCAAGTGATACCTACACAAGTCCAGAATGGAAAAATAGTAAATGTAACCTACATCCAATTCATTTGTGTCACTCAACAATATTCATAGACAGAAACTGAGAAACATAGCCAAAAGCATAGATCATATAATTTATAAAGGTGGAGAAAACGGCTTGTCGTTTAATGAACTATGTGGTGGTAGCCTGGTAGGTGAAGTGGTGGTCCCCACTTTCCAACTCCCAATTGGTTGAATGGTGATCCTCAAAAGATCACTAGTAGTGATTTTGTTTGTATATAATGTATGAAACAAGTATCGTCTCTTTATACTAAAATGATCCACAATAGTCAAAAATGTTTGGCAGGGCCTCAACAACATCTTCTGCCTTTTTCTTTCTTTTTCTTTCTCGGCTAAACAAGTCCCCATAAAATAATTTGGCTTATCCCCCAGCCAGCATAATGATTAAACGAATGAGGCTAAGGAGGGCCTAGATGAACAAACTAGGAAAACAATCAAGTCACAGCTCACAGTTAGTAACATTGAAAATTTGATCAATCTATTAACAATACATTAATAACTGATTGTTAAATTGAGATGAGAAAGAAGAAAAAAAAGGTTACCAGCTCTCAACAAGGACCTTGTCCTGATTCATGAGACAGAGAGGGGCTATAGAGACACCATCTTCATTCTTGGTCAAGAACTTGCAGACAGGGCCCAGACCATAGAGCCTTTCAACTTTACCATCAGCCAGGGTGCGCAGAGAGTAAGTGAGAATAGAGTAGCTGGCCAGGAGGCGCAACATGCGGTCAAGCATGACAGGTGCATCTGGGTTCTTGGTTGGGAGCTGAGAAGCTATGTCTGTGGGGGAAAGGAAAACACCAGGTCCAGATTTAGCCATGATCTCCAAGAGGTCAAGCTCTATGGCTGCCTTAAGCACCATGGGCAGAACAGAGGCGCTGGCTAACTGCATGGCAAACAGGTTGGCTTCTTCATCTGATACTTGGGTTGGGGTCATCTGAGTCTCACCAGTTGAACCCATTTTGGTATTGGAATTGGTTTGCTGGGTTTAGACAGAGAGTCCTATAGAGAGAGAGAGAGAGAGGAGTTAGAGAAGTTGAGGAAGGTAAAACAGAGAAGAAGACTGAGGCTTGAGGAAATGGGTGTGCTAACAAGCGGCATTAAATATATGTATATATGGTGTTTTCGCTCACCCACCACCTTGATGTGCTACCCTGTGTCCACCACCAGTACATGACCCCACATACGTCCTACACATCTTGACCTTTAAGGCTCTAAACTTCACCATTGATTAATTATTTAATTTCATCCTGAACTTAATTAGAGTTTAGAAATTTGTATCTCATGCAAACAAATGTAATCATGATTTAATAAATCTAAACTCTAATATTAAAGAGTGAATTCCTTAATTCAATCTTTGAAAAACAATTCCGATTGAATAGATGTAACACATATTATGAAAATTGTGCGATACATTTACATGTCGTATTGAAGGGTTTAAAGTCTAAACAAGATGCCTAATTAGGGAGAATTGTCAAATGGACACTAGTATCATACTCAAGAGAAATATACATGTTATCATCCGTAATCAAGAATCATATTCTCGTCATGCTAGTCATGCCCAAAAAGGTGGCATGTTTGAGTTTGATGAGACCCAAGCGCATAAAATTAAAATGTCCTTGTCATGGTTTATATGTATATATCATACTCAATGAACCCGCAAGGAATAGGAATTCGTTTGCGTGCCCCTAAACCCTAAACCAATAACAAGTAAAATAACAAGTGCCATAATCTAATATTGTAGTTAGTATCTTATAATGTTATATTTTACCAAAGTTGAGCTCAGATATCAAATCAGTAGGTGAGTGGAAGTGGAACCCATCCACATGGTATCCTATTGGACCTAATTAATATAATTTGGTTTTACTTCAATCTTAGGCAACAAAATTATGCCTTAGCTTCTTCATCATATATAATTGATTTCTTCTACTCCACTTAAGCTGAAGATGTAACAAGTTTGCTTCTTGTTAGGATTCATATCAGTTGAGTAAAAACTAGAGTACCTCTTAGTTTGCTAGCAAAAAGAAGATGGGTGAGTTTCTTGGTGATTGCCTCAAAAGGAAGCAGTCTATTTACTGGTCCTTCAAGACCTGAAAGTGAGCTCATGAGAAACAAAAACAAAGAATAAGACAGTCCATGGTTTGAACCCTCGGCTCTTCTTGAATGTAAGTTCAAAATTCGAAAGCTGTGTACCAAGTCAACAAGAATAGTCTTCACATACCAAGTTAAACATTTACAGAGACATCTAACTTCTAACACCATTAAGGGATAGCATCTCACCAACTCCTTGAAGATGTAGACAGTGGATGCAGCTATTGGTGAACAGAAGGAGTGCAATTCCACATATTGGCCCCACCATTCTTCTGGGAGAAAGTGTTTTCCCACAGAGAGAGAGAGAGAGGAAAAAAAGCTCGAGAAAATTCAGAATGAAAAGATCCAAAAGGCCACCTCTTTTATCAACTTCTTCACCAACCCTGCACTGCATTCTTCATTCCAAGCTTTATTCTAATCCAAAGAGAAAAGAAAAAATAGCACCTATCCAACTAACAAAGCATTAATTAGCTATCACAAAACATTAGTTCAACGTGTCTGATTAAAATATTTGTTAACGATTTACGTAGCACATGATTCATTTGAATAGTAGCTTTACTTAAGTTTAATGAAATGTGATTTCAAATTGAGTTGTGGTTGTGTCTATTGAAATGCTAGACTGCTTACGTACCCTTGATGAGATCAAACCGGCGTAGTTCCAAATTGACATCCACATGAGGAGTCCATATATGACACCCTCACTTATTGAATTTCGCTGGTTGGCACAAACAAAGTGAAGGGATATATTATTCTAATGATTTGATCATTGGGACCAAGGACACTACACATATCTTTTTTATGGGCCTGTCGGCCCAAATCGGATTTAAATGTTGTATAGCAGTAGCCCATGGGCCTTCTGGGCCACTTTGCTGTATCGAACCTCAGTTTCTCAATTGATGCCGGTCCCTGTTTCCGTTTCGAAAATGGAGCATGTCGTTTAATGATGTGGGATCGTGCGAGTCTAAGCGCCATTGTTCAGCGAAGAGGGCAGCATTCGAGGAAATTCGAAAAGATTCAAATCCTGGGTAACCAAAAGAGAGCAAGAGCGACGGAGAGAATGGGGGAAAGTGAAAACAACATGAGAGCGGTAAAGTTATCGAGCCCCTCAGGCCAGAAGAAGAAAAAGAGAGTGACTCCGAGAACTTCGTCTTCTTCCTTGGAGGAAGATGGGAGCCCCATCAGACACATTCTCTGTGTCAAAAACAAGGTCGATGTCAAGCAGTTCGAGGAAGTCGATGACTGTTTCATCTTAGATTTCGACCCATTTGAGCCCATTCAGTTATCCAAGTTATCCGTGTCCGATAATTTTGCTGGTGATAATGTTGATGCTCCGGAGTCTCCTGACGTTGCCGTTGTTGCTGAGAAAGGCCAGGTTTTTTGTTTTCCCCATGACCCATTTGATGTCTCTCTCTGCTTTTTTGTTTTCAATCAATTTTCTTTCTCTGTTGCTCTGTTTGGTTGCTGTGGAAATCGTAACCCCATTGTGCCTGTAAGCCTTCTAGGTCTTTGAAAAAGAAGATAACTTTTTTTTTTTTTTTTTAAATCTTGAAAAAAGAAAAAATAAATGAACTTTAACACTTATCTGTTTATATTGACTGAAGCAGAGAAATCGAAAGCATAAAACTTTTGATGCAAACATGTTTCTTGGTCATTTGTAATTCCAAGTTCTGTTGGAAGCGAAACATAGAATGATTATGCAGGCCAATGGGTTGCATTTACATCTAATTTATACCTCAGACTCAGAGGGGGGGTTTGAATAGCTAGTTTTGTGAATTTATCAAGCCTTGTCTTGATTTAAATTGATGATGTGCAGGTTGCTTGTAGAGATTATCCACATTCAAGGCATCTCTGTCTGAAATTCCCTTTTGAAACAACGCCTCACGAAAGCTACTGTGAGCTGGTAATAGAGTTTACAAGTTCAAATATTTGCAATTATAGTGCATCCCATTTCTTTTGTTTAACATGACATATAAACTGAATTCACCATTTGTTTGCAGTGCTACTGCTATGTATGTGATTCAGCAGCTCCATGTGGGCTATGGAATTTAGCACATTGCCATGCTTCTGAGCACATTGGTGATTGGAAGTCCAGAAGATATTTAAGGAAGCAGCAAGCAGCTGCTAAGAAATGAACAAACTCCCAAACTCTTGTTTTAAGCCAGATTGCAGTTAATGGTATACCAGAAATACCAAGAAAAGTGAACTGTTTTGCTATTAGGTGGTCAAGTTCAAGTAATTTTGTTGTTCATAGGGGGTACTTGACTTGGCTTTGTATTATGTCTGGCTTGAAAATATGCAGTTTACATCTTATGAAATGATGCAGAAGAAGCATTCTATGCGTTTGATTTGATTTATTCTTAGCAGTTGCAGCTGCAGGTGGTTTTTAGTAGAGTTAATCAGAATTGCATATGCCTCATGAATCATGAAATGGAATATCTATTATGAGAAATTATATCTACACAGTAAAAGGCAAAAAAAACTCTTATCACTGCCCTGTGGCTATGTTTAAACTGTCACATTTTGGGGTTACTTGATTGTAACTGGTGTTTGGTCACTCCAATTTTGTTGAAAAAGATGATGCATACAGGTTGAAAAATTACACATAAAATAAAAATAATGCTTTAAGGAATGCTTGCTATTCATTACGGGTTAGATCAAACGTTACAATAATTCCTTGTTTTTAATGAATTTATGTTAATGGGATTTGCTGTTCAGAACTGTAATGGAATATATAGAAAAATCAATAAATAAATTATACCAAATGTTTATTCTTGTTCAATCACATAGAAATAAATATTCCATATATCTCCATTAAATCAAATTGGTTAATTTGATCTAATGATTATCTCGTTAATTTGATCTAATGATTAAGAGATAGGGCCTTATCTCACTATAGAATGACTCGACTGCAATTTACGTGATTTAATTTAATGAATGGGCTTAGTGTGTTTGTGTGGGCCGAAGCAATAAATGAAAGATATAAAAAGCCCAAAACTTGGAGGCCCATGTAAAAATGGTAAATCCGAAGTGAAACCCTTGCAAATCATCAATGATATAACAGAAAAGCCATCCCCATCCCTATCGTATCGACTGCTGCGTGCGAGCCAAACGGCTAAGACTCTCCATATTTATCCGTTTTAGAGTTTTGTAGAGTTTAGACGACGAAGCCAAAGATGTCACCGGCTCCACTGGTTCACGCTGAGGCGGCCGACGATGTCCTGTCCACCGACCAACCCCTCAAGCACTCTCATCAGGTAAAGCTCCTCGCTTTTTTCTTTTTGGAATTAAATATTCTCATTTACATTATCCATTTTTATTTATTTATTTATATTTTTAAGTAATCCCAATACTGCGACTATTGCCAGAACAAGAAAGAAGACGAAGTCGTGGTTGAGGACGTGAAGGACGACAACGACAGGGATGAAGACGACGAGGATGACGACGACGACGACGACGATGATGATGACAAGGAAGATGGCGCTCAAGGTCGTCCTTTTCGTCTTATCTTCTTTATCGGTCTCCCTCTTTCCCTTTCGGAAAGAGAAGAGGATTTTCACTGTTATGGCGTCAATTGCTCCATTTTAGTCATTTCTGTGATTTATTATATACTGTTCCAGGATTTTCTGTAATGCTTGGAGTGTTTTGGGTTTGGAGCATGTTAGAGGGAGAAAATAAAAGAATTAACAGAAACTATGAAAGCATAAAAATTAGCTTGGGAGATTTTGATTTGAAATTTTGAAATTTTTTTCGACCTGAGGCATTGTTCTGAACTATAAAAATTCAAACTTTTTCATTCATTCATGCTGAGGTTTCATTGTGGGCTAGAGCATCTTTGCTACTTAATTGCAATGAAATGCATATTATCTATCTTTGTCTTCAAGTGATCTTGATTAGAGAATTAGTAACAGGTGGAAATGAGTCTTCAAAGCAAAGCAGAAGTGAGAAGAAGAGTCGAAAGGCAATGTTGAAGCTGGGCATGAAGCCTGTTACGGGTGTTAGCAGGGTCACCATCAAGAGAACCAAAAATGCAAGTTGTTGTTTGATTTCCTGCTCATTTAATTGAGATATGGTAATAACATGCACAATGTTCATTGTTTCCTCTTTTTGGGTGTTTCAGATACTATTTTTCATCTCGAAACCTGATGTCTTCAAGAGTCCAAATTCTGAGACCTATGTCATATTTGGTGAGGCCAAGATAGAGGATTTGAGCTCTCAGCTGCAGACACAGGCCGCCCAGCAGTTCAGGATGCCAGACATGAGTTCTGTGATGTCAAAATCAGAGATTTCTGCAGCGGCTGCTGGAGCTCAGGCAGATGAAGAGGAGGAAGAGGTTGATGAAGCCGGGGTGGAACCTAGGGACATTGATTTGGTCATGACACAGGCTGGGGTGTCAAGGAGCAAAGCTGTCAAGGCTCTCAAGACTCACAGCGGGGACATCGTCAGTGCTATCATGGAGCTCACAACTTGATTTGGGCAATCATAATTTTCCTCTGCTCATTGTTTACTTGATGATGAGTGTTTTTGAATCGGTGTCGTAATTAGTTAAATTGGACGCCCATCTATGAGGCTGGATTATGCATTTCTTTTCATTTTTCGGGGGACTCAAAACATTCGCAGTGAGGGTCTTTAGTTTTGCTCATGCCCTTCACTCTTAATTGAATTAATTAAGGATTTCATTATTCATCTTGTGATATCTTTTGGTTACTTTATTACTTGATTGATAGGTAAATGGTGATAGGGTAACCGGTGGCACGTATTTTGTGACTTGGGTGATTATAGACTACATAAAAACAAGGTGCTTGTTATGTTATTAAACTAGTAGAAGCACAACCATTGACCGAAAAAACACAAATACAAGTACAACCAAACAAACAAATAACTAGAAATGAAAAGTAAGCTGAAGCATCCCCATCCTTAAGTTTAAGGAGCACGCATGAGAAAACCTCTCTGGTCTCTAGCTGTTAATAACCCTGCAATTTGCTCGAATCTCACCAGTATTGCCTGTTAAGACTTCAAGTTTGCCCATCTTCACCATTGCAGAAGCGAATTTAGTCCTCCAAAGGAAGGGCATCTTGGCATTTTGATTGACTTGGTTTGCGGTTGCTGAGTTTGTGAGGAGAGTTTGGTCTGATGTGAACAAGCCTCGGTTTGTAAGAATGTCGGCGTAGTAGCTGGTGTCAGTGACGGCAGGGCTGGCGGGGTTCATCGGAACCACCAAGTTTGGACTTGTGTTGCCCTGTGGGTATTGCTGCTTCAACTGAGCAGCGTACGGGGGGTCTAAGCTTTGGTCCTGCCTTGATGTTCTGTTAAAATTGTACAGTCTATTACTGAAAGCTGTGCAATGAGAGCGGCCAATGGTGTGTGCTCCTGTAAATCACAGTATCTGATTCATTACATCTGTATTTGTTACTTAATGGTATTGAAAGCAACAGAAAAGTGTTTAGGATTGTTTCACAAGGAAGAATTCAGATCAGAGTTGTTAATACCAGAGAGAGTAACCATTTCTTCTTGTGTAAAACTTTTGTTTGCAAAAAGTTTACTGAGCTGGTCGACATTGAATGATGGGGGAGGTAAGTTTGTGAATGTGTCTGAAGCTTGTGAAATTCTGCCATCTCTTCTTCCAGCAGGAACGATATATCCAAGCCCCTTAGTCTGCATGGAGATCACAGATTTGATAAGAAATTGATACAAAAAGGAGCCACACACACATATATATATATATATATATAAACCTACTCAAGCAAAGGAGATGTATCTCTTACTATCTCTATGCTATCCCTGGCTGCAAATGCAACTATATCAGCGCATGATACAACACCTCTGCATACAGCTTCCAGTCTAGCCTTTGCACTGTCAATGACTTCGAATCCTCGTAGGCTTGGGTTATTCGCTGGTGAATCCTTTTCTGCCTTGTTTGAGGAAGTGGAATCAATGAGCACCGATGCATCACAGCCCTAAAGAAGCAACAAATTAAATTAGTTTACCCTATCTGTCAAAATCAAATAGCTCGAGCCTGACAGATATAGTACACAATTGTAACCTCATTTCTAGTAGTCAAGTTATTCCAAAAGGAGGAACATACGTGCATATTAGAATCTACCAATATACTTATGTTCCTTGTTAAGTTGAGACCATTGATAACATGAAAAAAATAAGTTGCCTTAATTAGGGGACATTAATCTTACTCTAACAAAGCAGTCATGGAAGTGCAATCTCACAAGACCAGCTGCAACTCCTGGGTTCTTAAAGAACCCTTTTCTAACCTCGTCCTTGACGATTAACTCCGCTAAGGTACATGAAGTCGTATAAAACCCAACTTGGAGCTGTGAATGCACACTTTGACATAACAAAGCAACAATTAAAACAAGAGATACACAATTTAGATTTTGTGGTCTCATTTCGTTTACTGGTTAATTATCCCACTTGACTTAATTGGAGGCCTATGACAGGATGATTAATATTTATAGCTGGAAAAAAGTGTATTTAATTGTGAATTTATTATTAAAGATCCAGGAAATTAAGCAACCCGTGCCAACTGAGATAGGCAGGCAGGCAGACAGTAGACTGGAATGTCGCTGTTGCCAAGTCACCATAGATTTACTACATGCTTATTGAGCAAGTAGAAGAAGACGACAAGTAGAGTGGGTTCATATATAACTAGCTTGTACTGTTATTGCATCATATCAAAAGCCACCAGCAAGACTTATGAGGAACTGGGATTACATTTCAGTGGCAGCCAGAGCCAGGTTGACCAGAAAACAGGGAAATCCAAATGCATGCAGTTAAGGATGTAGTTTTTTATATGTGATTTCCTGGGAACAGGTTGAAACCGAAAGCTAACAATGAGGTTTTGTCTCCAGTCCAGACAAAGGTGACTTGAATACGATAAAATAAGCAGTGTATTTTTAATATTTAGAGCCCTCATATCCCACAACCCTCCATTAAAATGAGGCCCCTCCTTGTCAAAGAGTTCTGAAAATGGATAAGAAAATGTTGTTTGTAATTTAGCTCAAATTAAGACCAGGATCCAGGTAGATAGCTGTTACCCTTGGAGTCTTGGAAGAGGCTTTCTGTCGTGCCCTCGTGGGATTTTTTTGTTTTGCACCGAAACACTTTTAAAATGCTAATTAATTGCCTGCATGAGCTTAGCCAGGTTGGCTAGAGCAGATGTGTTCCCTACTCTGCACCCACCCAAATTCGATCCTCCTCCACGTAGTCTAAATTAGATTAAAGTTGACTATCACTTATAAAAAAATGTTAATTAATTATCAGACAGAACATTGAAGTCGCATCTTATATCTTATACATAGTGCATGTTATATGTTCAAAATCCTACATTGGACATCTATGATGGCGAAATCTTAAAATGTAAAATTGTTTCGTACACCATTTGCTTGAGACTGCAATATTCATGATCAAATGCAAGGCTTTTACCTGGCCACACGATAGATAGACAGCAAGACCAGATGATGATAATTATAACAATTACAAAACACATATGGTCGGAATATTTAAATAAGTTCAAAAACTTTGTACATGCATAACATATCAAAGAGTCATTTAGCTCTTTTTTAACTTTTGAGTTTTTTTTTAAATAGTCATATACTGTTTGAAGCAACCACCACGACCATATACCCAGACACTATATGACATTAAGCACAGAAGAAAGAGGAATCGTTCACGACCCAGGTACATCTGGGTTTCCAGCTTCATATTCAACAGTTCTGCCCCCAAATCTCCTCTTTCATGACATGTTCCCAATCTGATGAAGAGTTATCATGCCCGCCTGCAGGAAGCTGATTTGCAGGCTTGTGGATCCTGAAATATTGTGTCAGTGGATCGTCCTCAACGAACAGATGGAACTCCTTAGCAGTATCCAACTTGCCTTCACTACTGTCAGCTTTGAAACTTTGCACAATAGGCCGCTCTTTTATATCTGAACTTCCACCCTCTGATCTCTTGCTAATAATTGGCCAAGGGTGTCTCTTACCAGCATTTCCAAGACCACCAATTCCTGGCAGCTGTTTCCCTTCTCTATGCATGTAACTACTGTTGTCAACCCGGGATTTGAGGATATGAAGTCTAGACATAACAGAAGCCTCACAATCATTGGCTTGGCTGGTTGCTCTTGAAACGGGAGAATCACGGATGCTGAACTCAGGCATTAAGCTATCACTTGTGTCAGGTGCAATTACGTCAATCTTGGGTTCTGGCAGTTGTTGCCCTTCTGTATGCATGTCACTACAGTTGTCAACCCGGGATTTGAGGATATGAAGTCTTGACATAACAGAAGCCTCACAATCATTTGCTTGGCTGGTTGTGATTGAAAGAGGAGAGTCCTGAAAAAGATTGAACTCAGACACTGAGCCATCACTTCTGTCAGGTACAATGACATCGGTTTTGGGTTCAAGAGACACCTTGGAGCTTGATGGTTCTTCCATATTGACAGCACTAATGAACTTTGATTTCTCAACCCGGTCTCTTAAGATATGAAATCTGGCCATAACAGAAGCCTCATAATCATCTGTCACCCCAATTGTGCTTGATGTGGAAGAATCCTGGATGGAGATACCAGGTGATGGGGTACCATTTGCTTCAGGTGCGATTCTCTCAACCTTGCTGGGTTCAGGAGAAGCCTTGGAGCTGGATTCACCCGCATTGGAAGCATTAATGGAATTTGTGTTCTCAACGCGGCCCCTTAAGATATCAAATCTGGCCAAAACCTCATCTTCCTGACTTAAAATGGGTAAATCCTGAACATTTGAAGTTGGACAACCCTGAGCCTCAGGTGTTAATGGATTAACTGGGTTTGAATCAGGGGAAACCTCAGACTTTGATTGCTTCATCATATCTGCAGTATATTCAAAGACGTCTGAAAAAGAATCATAAAAAAAAAATAAAGAAAATCAGATAAGATATAAGTTTATCCTTTATATGACAGAAAACTACGGAGTTTGAGAACATCAACCTTTGGAATTTTCTGCCTTGCACTTATCCATTTCTATCTTCACACGATTAAAGCGAGCCTTATAATTAATGGAACATAATACAGCTTCAGCCTCAAGCCAAAGATTCTTGTACAAGAGAACTTGAGGGTCTGTTTCCTCAGAATGAAAATTCTCACTAAGAATCTCCTTTATAGCCTAGAAAACCATGGTCCATGACACAATAAGTACATAATCATTTATACTTCCTCATCCCTCAATGGGAAGAAAACAACTTAGCATTATACTCTATGATGCTAGAGATAGAGTACCTGGGTCATTTTATCTTCTTTCACCATGTCTATGTCACTTTTCACATGAATGGAACCTATAACTTGATCCTGAATGTTAGGGGCAGATGCTGACAGGGGCCTGTCTGCACTCAGAACCTGAAGAGATTATTTGGCCAAGCAAAACATAATTATTCAGGAGTATGAGATGGTAAGTAACTGCATAATGAAACACACATTACTCATCAGACAAATTAAATTTTGGAATAAAATTCAAAAAAATTAAGCACCATACCTTATGATGCTCACTTAACTCTGCATAACACTGAGAAGTGTTTTGCTGGAAAGTTGGTGATTCTTGCATAGGCGACCATTTTTCAACATTCTTCGATATACATATATGCAGGTTATTGATCACAGCTTTTAGGGTCGCAATATCTGTTTTCTTTGACTGACACACGCCAATTGA